AAAATAGACATAAGGCAGCACAGGCCTGTGTTGACTATGGTGGCAGTGGAAATAATAATCTATGAAATTTAGTATTCCGTGTGATTGTGGGGAAGAAAACAAAGCATGAGCAGCAAGATTGCTTGCTGTGTTGACTAGATAAGGTTAAGTCTGAAGAGGGGATCTATTTAATGAAAGATAATGAGTTCCATTTTAGTTAAATTGAGATAGAGTAGCCAGCTATCCACATGATAATGTGCAACAGGCAGTTGGGACTATTGGTCTTCCAAATTTCAGATTAGATGTGTGAAAGAAACCATAATTGTTACTCATACAACTATAAAATGAACATGCATCAAAGATCTTATTTAACGAATGAGTGAACCAATAAGATGTCACAGTTCTAAGAACTCAAAATACCACGTAATAATAGTTAAAGAATGCTGATGTGAATTTAAAAATGCAAGAAAACAGGTCACTGTTCACAAGGCGATAATCAATGACATCCCACAGGAAACAATTTCTATGAATAGGAATTATTTGCAGTTACTATTCATTTTCTGCAAGTTAGTCAACATCCATCCCTTCAGAGTTGTAAAATAGCCTAGTTAAAGAACAAAGGTAGATAAAACCTGAATGAAAGTTATAGCCAGGATATAGTTTTCATTGTTTTTTCCTTAAATTGTTATAAAAAATTTTAAATTTCAGAGCCTTCCTATTGATGGGGTCTTTAATCAGTAGACAGGAGGTTTTAAGTTCCTCTTCATTAAGCTAAAACTCATTTAACTAATAACAAAGGAAAACAAAACCTTCTCTTTTATTTGGGCATCTCCAGGTCATCTCCTATATCCTGCGATATAGGCATACCTTTTCCCTTGGAAATTCGTAAAGGTAAAACACTACCCACTCTCCTTCCACCAGCTTGAATTTCACCTTAGAGCTCAGTTGCTTCAGATGGAGAGGACCCTGCATCAGGAGATCATGGTTTAGACCTTCGTACTCTCAATACTGTGATAGGAATAGCGTTTAATTTATGAATTGTCACCAAAATTAAGGATTATTCTCTTTTATTTCTTGAAGAGTACTGACAAGTCACAAGCCTTCTCTGATTATATATCTTTAATTTTTGAAAGTATGATAAATTAATACAGATCATTAATCATTTGACCAAATATTTTCAAAAAATTTAACAACACATGAGTTTTTTCTTTTAAAAGCCAATACTCAGTCTAATACTAAGTCCTAACAAGAGGTACTATGAAGCTCTCTTACCCTGAGTTTACATTTACTATGAATCATTAGTTAAGGGTAATTTTATTCTCATAACTGTTAAACAATAATCTTCAAAAAAGGTTAAGTCATGACTCTCAGATATAAAATGAACATGAATCAAAGATTTTAACTCATTAGTGACTGAGGGAACTGGAAAAGAATGTTATAGGTAGTTAATAGGTAAATCCAAAGATTAGACAAATATACAAGCCTATCAGGAAGGCAAAATACATTTGCTCCATAGAGGCAAAAAGAACCTGACCTCTTCCATAGTAAGGACAAAAGTCAATTGAACCTCCAGCAGCTGGCATTTATTTGCATGTCTACAAACACTAATTATTTCCATTACTCTCAGTTTCAACAAAATAACTTCTACCTCTACAGAGTTGTAAAATAGCTCAAAGGCACAAACCCCATAGAATCGGATTGACTTGGGAGAATGTACCCTAAACAATGCATAGTTTTCCAGAAAGACACTTTGGAATTGTATTTTGATCCATTTAAAAATCTTTCAAAATCTGTCTTTACATAACTAATGCTGAAGGTGAATGTTAGCCAAGTTCATTGATTATTTAAAACTTACATTTTATACTATAAAGTATGCAAAAAAGTACCTGACTGAATTGGCCCAAAATATGGAAATATTTAATGAAAATATAAAAACATTAAACTCCTAACACAGTTTAACTTTATTGTGAGAAGTAGAAATGTTTGTTTTTTAAAGGTGCTTAGCTGACCCTCCAAAAATAAAATTTCTGTCTTTTATAGATACACTGATGAAAATTGTGGGTGCATTCATTTTAGGATTTCATTTAAGTAATCTTTGCAGTTGGAATCATTAAACATGTTTGGAATACTGGTACAAAAGAACATAGAACAGTTTGTATCAAGGTAGCTTAAATTCATAATTTAATTATTTAAGAAAATCAACTTAGTCAACTTACATGATACATAGCCCTGAAATTTGAAAGTATTTTGGCACAATTGAGCTTTCCCCTTAAGTTTGCCATGTCACTGTGAAAACTGTCAATTGCATGTACAAGAGTAAAGTACTTTTGAGGTGCTGTTTACTTCAGAATGGAACATTATAATCATCACTAATAGCATAGACTGTGTACTGTGCTAGTACCCTGTATCCTTAAGGAATCTGCTTAAAAGCAGATTCCTCAAAATGGTAGCCTTTCAGACTGTGTTTTCTTCATTGAACAAGTGTTTTTATTGTGGCTAACTTGAAGCATGTAAAAAAAAAACAAAACAAAACTGAAGCTAGATTGTTTCTTTCATGCCTCACCTAGCCTTGTTAATAGATTGCAGCATTCCATTTGTTAGTACCTGTGACACAGGAGAAGCTTTTACTATTAAGCTATGTGGTAACGATAAAGAAGACAGAAAAAGTCTTTTTATGGTAGTTGGGTCCTCAACAACAACTCTTCGTGTTCTGGTGATAAGAAGAACAGTTGGATATCCAGTGGAGGTACATGGGCTTGTTATCTCCAGAGCTGATAGAGCCTCTTAAATTCCCTCACAATGACAGGAACCCCATCTGAAGTGAAGACTTGCAGAGCTGGAGATGCCAGAGCACTCTTCCTCAATGAGTACAAGTAGGGTTAACCCTGTTGTTGTAGAACAAAAATTTTGTGTAATTACTTAGAAGGCCATATTCTTTTTGTTCAGTAATTTAAAAGTACTTCAAAGAGATACATACTTAGTGGTTGCTGTTAGTGGAAGAACACGACTACGATTTTCCTAGTCTTAAAATATGTGAATAGGATGGGAAAATACCTAGAGATTTCAGGCTAGAATAAGTCAACAAGTTCATGATGAAATCTTTGTTAGGCACTTACTATATTTGTTTTGTTTCTAGGGCTGTGTAGGTTATAAGAGTTCATTGTGTTCCAGTATTCTGAGTGTTAACGTCTTCATTGCTGATAGCAACTTGCAGAGTTTTGGCAAGCAGAACTTGCTGCCATGAACAGGGGAGAATACATGTCTCCATCCTTTAGTTCTAAATAACAGAACCTTTTATGGCTAAGTACGCATAAAAGTTTATATCATTAGTTAGATCCAAGGAACTTAAAGCCATAGTGCCAGTGTTGGGGAAGTAGGTGTAGTGTTTGCTTTATCCTTATGTTTAGTGATTGTATTATGGTGATGGTTTCAGGTGTGTTGTATGTAGGATTCCTAGTGCATGCCAAGTAATTTGAGAAGTTAACATATCTGTACTTAGGATTTCTTATGATTCTTTAAACACAAAAAAATCAAATAGACTAAAGTGATTTTAAAAATAATTTGACTTATAGAAACTAAAAAAAAAAAATCTCAAATCTGAATCTATTGTGTGTTTACATTCTTTTAGGGGAAAAAGATATGAAATAAGCATTCATAATGATTGTAAATCATATTTTAAAGGATACCAAGATTTATTATTATAAATTAATTGAAAGTATATCTTAAATCTAATTTAACCATTTAATATATTAATATAAGTTAACATACTTAATAGTACTAATCTATTGATCAAACTTTGTTTTCCAATTAAATAAACTTTGTTAGTTTACTTGGAAAATGTTTAACTTTCTAAAACTTCTCAGTGGTTGGCTAGAAAATCAGTAAGTCCCAAAACTATTTGAGCTGTTGAACTCTAATTCTTTTTAAAAAGATCCATCAAGGTTTTTAAAAATGTAGACATTCTGCAAATAAGTTAATATTCCACAGATTGTTAAGCCCCTGGTTTTAAGGTTACTCTTCTAAATACTGGACAAGTCATTTCATGGTGATTTTAATGAAAAATATAAAAAAAAACAGAAAGCCAACCGTTCATTATACTTTTACCCCAAAGTAAGAAGGAAAGAAAGTGAACATATGGTCTAGGAGGTACTTTTGTTACACTCAAGAAAGTTCTCCAGAAAGTCAGTTCAGTGGATTAGATCAACTGACGAAGCTCTATAGAAAGAGAAAGCAAAGGGGGAAAAAGATACATGCTGCTGAATGTTTTATTAAAAATACTGGAAATAAGTAAAAGGGGGAAATTTTCATTAGCTTTGCTTTCTTTTGGTTTTATAGAACTTGAACTTCAAAATAAATTTGTTGCAATCTTATAATACATGTTCAGTGTCACTAATAAAGTCATAATATTATGTACATTCTACATAAGAAAGAGTCATTACTGTCATATGTAAATAAGTATTTGAGTTTTTATGCTTCACAGTTAGTAGGAAAATGATAGTATTTAAGGACAAATTAGGAATAAAGTTATTCAGATGCGGTGCCAGTTCTTTCTGGTGGCTAGGATAAACTCAGGTGAAAAGCAGTTTCAATAGATGAAGTTGCTGAAATGTTCATTTTGTAAAGGTACTATGATAGCTTCCTAGAACATCATTTTGATACATTTCTATATCAGTTCTTACACTCATTGGCCCTATCAGATATGTTGATCAGGCTGTAATCAGATTCAGGTTATAACTGTCAGAGGTGTGAGTAATTTAGTATATTCTCTAGGAAGTTTGGGAAGAAATAAGCCAAATAAGTAAACATTCCTTTTTTTCTTAATGTACAAGGGGAACATTAATTTTGTGTGTGTCTAAAGTTTACCTTATTTGAAGGATTAGAGTACATTTGTGATCATTTAAAATCATTTCAGTGGCTCTTGTAATAACTCCGTTCATTCAGTCTGTGCTCTCTTAATAAATTTAACAAAACTCATGGCAAGTTAGTATCATTTGTGTGTGAATTTTCCAATTGTATTTCAGACTTTAAGAAAGAAAGGCCTTAATGGTTGTGAGAGCCCTGATGCTGACGATTACTTTGAGCACAGTCCACTCTCGGAGGACAGATTCAGCAAACTAAATGAAGATAGTGATTTTATTTTCAAACGAGGCCCTGTAAGTACTTTTACTTTACCTCTACTTTTTATTTGTTGATCCTTTTTGTTAACTTCATTATATAGGCTCTGAACAAGAAGGAACACAGAGGGTGCGACAGCCCAGACCCTGATACTTCCTATGTGCTAACTCCACATACAGAAGAAAAATATAAAAAAATTAATGAGGAATTTGATAATATGATGCGGAATCATAAAATCGCAGTGAGTACTAAAGTATGGTTTGTGCTTTTATCTTGTGCATGAAGAGATTGGCTACACTTCTTGTTTATTTTCACAGTGGGTAATAATACTAATAAGTAGAAGGGGAGAAAATTTCATTAGTCTTTTTTGGATTTATAGAATTTCAAAATAAATTTGTTGGCAATCTAATAATAATACACGTTCAGTGTCTTAAACATGAAAGTGAAGAGAAAACATCCTATTCCTAGTTCTACTTACTGTCTCCTGTACCTTTGGATAGGGCACATAAGCCCTTCCTGGATTCCAGTATTTTTCCTATGGAAAGTGAATGAATTGACTTACATAATTTTTAAGGTCCCTGCTAGCTCTAAATTTCCATGATTGTAAATATATAGGGTGCATATAGGATTTCCTTTTCCCTCTCATGGCTTTTAGGAAGTATTACATGTATGTAAATAGATCTTGAAACTATAAAATATAAATTGGTTAGATTTATACAAAATTTGGTGTTTCACAATTATGTTTAGTTATTATTATTATTGTATAGTGGCTGTAATGGTAGTAGCTTACTCTTTGGTTCTTTGTAAATGTCCCAAACTATTTGGCAAAATAACCTCCAAACTCCTATTATTTTCTTACACATAGGTATTGAGGAAGAGCCCCTCGGCTTGATATTTATTTAAGAAATCAATGTTCTTAAATTGGTTGCAAAACAAATAGTTGGTTTAAAATTTTCCTATGCTCAAACATCTAACTGTCATGAAAACCAGTACTTTTTTGAGTTCATCAAAGAGTTCTCATGGGAAGCTCATTGGCCAAGAATTGCTTAAAAGAGCTATTCTGGATCTGATTTTCTAATGCCTTATATGTCTTGCAGGCTTCATGGAACAAATTGGTTCCAATACTGATATTTCTTTCTTTCTTTTTTTTTTTTTTTTTTTTAATTTATGATAGTCACACAGAGAGAGGGAGAGAGAGGCAGAGACACAGGCAGAGGGAGAAACAGGCTCCATGCACCGGGAGCCCGATGTGGGATTCGATCCTGGGTCTCCAGGATCGTGCCCTGGGCCAAAAGCAGGCGCTAAACCGCTGCACCACCCAGGGATCCCCTGATATTTATTTCATGGTCAGAATTAATTCTCTTAAAAACTGTGCCATACATCATGGATTATTTCTCCAAAGTAATCCTTTACTATTAGAAGCTCATGAAAAATAGATTTAAGGAAGTATTTTTGTGCTAATACCTTTATTATTTTTAAAAAATAATCCCAAAACAATAGCAAACAAAATAAAATCCCTTCTGACCTCACACGGATGTTGGTAACTTTGTAGTTAATGTTAAGCTGCAAAAATATCACGTAAATAAAATTGCTTTACCTTTGAAAACATTTTTATCATATAGTGATTGTTTTATATGTTAATAAATTATAATTTTCTTTCTAAAATAAACTGTTGAAGAGAGTACATAAACTATATTCTTCCAACTTTGAATTAGCAGTGTTACCACTCTTTGCAATCACTGTTTTAAAATGTGGGGAGAGGAAAGCTTTTTTCTTTCTTTATGATGGAGATATTATAAAGAGAAGTGTTATTTTCATGTTAACAAGCATATTGCATGTGTTCTGTGGAAGAAATACAAGAAGAGATAGAAAATACTATTTTAAAGGGGTATGAGATATTTAGGAGGGAAGTAAGATAGCATTTATAATTGTAATTTAATCTTCATACAATTTAAAAATAGGTTGTCAATGGTTAATTTTATTGTTTAGATTGTTTCTTTGCATTTTCATTATACTCAGATTGCATTGTGTTGTGTATATACAACTTGATATTTTTTTTAGTTTTGTTCATGAAGAATGTCAATTAAACCAGGGCTTACTTAAAATGTCCCACATTTGGTGTATTAAATTTATAATTTGTGTACATATTTTTCCCCTTTTGTTATATTTGTAATCTCTCAATAGAAATGTAATGTTTGGATTATTAGAGTGCTAATTTTATGCTTAGTAGGTAACAATAATATATTTTGTAATATCTAAATCTGACAACACTAATCAGGTTCTGACATCTAATTTTCATCTCTGAATATTTGAAATATATACATTATAGTAATATATATGTATTAATATGTAAAAATGAAAATTGAAAAGGTTCATGTCAAACGTACTCATGTTAAAATATAATTCTAAAGAAAGCAGCTTAAATCTGCCAATTTTAGTAAGAAACTATCCCCATCCTCTACTTTTAATAACCAGAGTTACCTAATCAAATTAAAGTTCATAAGTTACCACATTTAATATAGATGAAAATGAAACTAACAGTTTTTTTTTTCCTTGTTCTTTATTTACAGCCTGGTTTGCCACCTCAAAACTTCTCAATGTCTGTCACAGTCCCTGTGACCAGCCCTAATGCTTTGTCCTACACTAATCCAGGGAGTTCCCTTGTGTCCCCATCTTTGGCAGCCAGCTCAACATTGGCAGATTCAAGCATGCTGTCTCCACCTCAAGCCACATTACATAGAAATGTATCCCCTGGAGTCCCTCAGAGACCACCAAGTACTGGTAGTGCAGGTAGGTAGTGATTCTGTATATATCCGTTCTGCTGGTTCTTTAATAAAAGGGTGGAAAAAATAATTGCTAATATAAGCAGTTTCTTATTTTGCTACTCTTTAAGATTCTGTCTTTGATGAGCAAGAGTCACTGCTACATAATTGGCTCCATTTTAAAGAATATTTTTGAGGATTTGCTGTGGTACTTTAGCTTCCTCTCAGGCACGGTGGAATGATGTACAGAATCTGTCATCTCTAACTTTCCTTATGATGGGAAAGCCATACTTTGACAGACAGAAAATTTAATTAGGATATCATGAGCAAAGATTTAAAGTTTGGGTGTGACTCACTCATGTGAAAAATACAGAAAATAGATGTACCTGCCTGGAGTTAAAGTTCATTAATCCAGGAATTTGCAGTGCATTTATGGCTTTACTCTTTGTAATGCAGTGGCTTCTCTCCTCTAAGTCCTAAATTTAATAGTACTCCATTAGCACTGCCCCCATTCTTATCAATATATATGATTTGATATTGATACCGGAAGGCATATGCATTCAGAGCTTGATAGGTGAGCTTTTATATGTATGTTTAACTATATCATATTACACAGTAATGCCAAATTCAGTCTAGGCTAGTTTTTGTTTTTCAGGAGAGGAGTGCGGATTACTTCATTCAGATAAAGAGAATCCATTCATATTCATTATTTACCTTCTTTTCTCTCTGTAATGTTTTTAGGTGGGATGTTGAGCACTTCAGACCTCACAGTGCCAAATGGAGCTGGAAGCAGCCCAGTGGGTACGTGAAATTACTTGTTTCACTTTGTAGGCATCTATCCTATGAGATCGAAGGAGTATTGTCCTTCAAATAAGGCCTTTTACCAAATGGAGAGGAGAAAATGGATATATGACCAGAGTAGATGTGTCCCTTTGTAAACTTAATTTTCCTCTGAGGGATACTTTTACTAATACTTACCATTTTTTAATAACAGCCCTGCTGTTCTTTACACCTTGGCTTTGAGTGCCTCCTTTATAAGCGGTTAATAGCGGTTATTGTTCTTTGCTAAAGTTAAAATTGTCTTAATATGGTTTTTACATCAAGCCAGTTTCTTAAGGAAGAAGCTTTCTGTATCATCTATTCTCACCAAAGTTACATTGTTAGCAGACTGATACATCTTCTAATAGCATGAAATGTTTTTATAGAGAGGTTGCAATACAGAGATATGGTGGGCCTACTCCTAGAGCTGCAAAGATTGTTGAGAAGTTTGTCTTCAAAAGATCTGTTTTGTTGGCCACATGTAGAACATTCACATTTTGTTACAGTTACAGCCAAATTGGGTGTTTTTTGTTTTTGTTTATTTGTTTTTACTTTGGGATCCTTTCTAAAGATGACTAGCCAGTTTAAACACAAGGTCTGCCCAACCTTTGAAGTGTTGTCAAAGATAGATGGTAAACTGAACATCAAAAATTATGGTATATATGTGAAAGAGTTATAAGAGTAACTGTATTCCTTTGGATTATCATCACATTAAGTGGTCTTAGTCTCTTAATCTGTGATAAGCACAATTGTCATCATTGTTATCTGAAAACAAGGGCAGGAATTTTCTCCCTGCTTTTAGCTATTGTGTGTTCCTGGAGACCTCTGAACACAGATCACTTTTAAGAAAAATTCACAATTTTATCTATTCAACTTATTCATTCTATAAAAATGTAAGGAGCTTCTGCCTCAAGAAAATTGTAGAGATGATTGAATAGCTTAAAGTGATGAGAAAGACGTGCTTGCTTCGGCAGCGCAAATACTAAAGTGATGAGAAAGAAACAGATAATTGCTGAGACAAGTTATAAACCATAGTGACCTAAAGTAGAATAAATGCCTAATTATGTCTGCCATTGTATTAATTGCTGTTTTAATGGAATTAAATATATAAGACTCATTGTAGGATTTTTAAAAAAAATTTTTTATTTATTTATGATAGTCACACACACAGAGAGAGAGAGGAAGAGACATAGGCAGAGGGAGAAGCAGGCTCCATGCACCGGGAGCCCGACGTGGGATTCGATCCCGGGTCTCCAAGATCGCGCCCTGGGCCAAAGGCAGGCGCTAAACCGCTGCGCCACCCAGAGTTCCCTCATTGTAGGATTTTTTAAAACATAATTAATTGTGGAAAAATTCATAATGGTCTTAATTATACATTAGGGCTGCTATACTTGTATGTGTATTTCCAAGTATTTATAGTTTATTTCAGCTCCATTTTAGTTATTTGCATTCCCATATACGTACTCTTTTGGTGTTAAATTTTCCCTTATGCTTTTATTCCCCATCTCCCCGCCCAGTACTGTCCATCTTACTTTTCCTTCTACATCCTAGCCTGGTTAAGGATAGAATCAAAAATTTCTGTTTCATTTAATGTTAATTGTAACTACCTCTTGGTTTATTTACAAAATTAGTTTTATTTAATGGGTTATATTCCATAACCATGGAATGGGTTATATTCCATAGATTTCTAATACATTTTCCTCTTGCCTTTACTTTTTTTTTTATCCTTCTGACATATCATAAACACAGTTCTTCCCCCTGTCAGAGAAGTGTTTCAATTCTCATTTATTTTTTCTTGTACTTTCCACACTTCTTAAAAACTTTTTCACTGCTCTTATCTGCCATGCAACTATAAATCTAGACTTTGTCTCTGCTGCTTGATTTTCGGTGTTGACTTTGATAATTCGAAACTCAGACTTTGTCATCAACCTGATTTGACTTTCTGTGTGTAACCCTGTTTGTTTTGTTCTTTTGATTCATTTTCTTTTTCTTTTTTTTTTTTATAAGCCTCCTCTCCCTTTCTGGAAACCTCATGTTTAGAGGGCTACATAGTCATACCCCTTGGATCATGGTACATCATGATGCATTAAGTTTACACAAAGCATCTCAGTATGCTGTGCATCAACCCTTTTTATATCTCAGTTCCACTTCCATGTCTTCCCTCTCCCATCATAGGCAATCACTTTAATGTGTTTAGTGTAAATAGTGTTAATAATCATGATTAGTGAACATGAGTTTCTTTTAAAACTTAACATTCAACTAAGTATTAATATATTTTAAGTGCTTAGTGAGTTACTTATATATTTAAAGATTTTATTTATTTATTGCGGTGGGGGAGCAGAGGGAGTCAAGTAGACTCCTTGCTGACCTGCTGAACAGAGAGCCAGACACGGGACTTGATTCCAGGACCCCCAAGATCATGACCTGACCTGAAGGCAGATGTTTAACTGAGCCATCCAGGCGCCCCGTTAGCGAGTTATTTAAAAGTCTATTTCCATTATTTTGTATACACAGAGATAAATCCTGCTTCTTAGGGCATGACTCAGCATCTCGTAACACATAAAGATTGGATGTCCTGATTTTTCATTGGTTCATACTCCTATATGCCTATTTTGCCTATACTACTATGGAATTCTACTTACTGTGCTTGTTTGGATTATATTCTAAATGGCATGTGCATTTTAACTGCTTTTTAACAGAATCTAGATTTAACTGAATAGACCTTTTATATCACTTAATTCAGATAGTAACTGGAAGCAGTTATTTCTGTGCATTCTTAGAGCATACATGGGTTGAAAGTGTTTCTTGCTATAAATTTTCCCTAAAATAAATGATCTGTCACAGACATTTTAGAAATGTTATTTTTGTGGGGAAGAGTCAGATAATATATTAGCACATTTCAACAGTGGTGCCATTTTGGTTTAGTAGTTTGGAAAAAAATAGTTTAAACTCATAATTATACCCAAACATAGTCTTTATGAATGAAAAGATTAAGCAGTTAAAATTCCCAGAGAAATTTAGGAAAAAAAAGTCAAAAGGTATCAGTATGATTTCTAATCTATATTTTTCAAGATATGTTTCTTAGAACTGTGTGAGAAAGATTTTTCTATATTTGGTAAACCTTGCATTAAACAAAACTAAACAGGTTTCTTCATTGTAGAACGTAAGGGAGCCTTTAAAATGCTAATCTATTTTGTGAATCATTAAACTTAGTATATAACATATGGCTACACAAAGTGATTTTGTAATAGAACCCTTATTTTTTTTCTTCATGAAAAAGCATCTTTCATAATTAGTATCATGTAAAACATTTTGAGAAATCTTGCTTCTGATCTTAAGATGATACATAGAAAAGTTTTTGAATAATGAAAACTTCCATAAATGAAATTAAAATTGAGGTTTAAAAAAGACAAGCAAGACAATTAGGCTTGTGCTGTAATAATAGCAGATCTGGTCAGTGAGACCAGTCCTTCCACTGAAGACACCTAGAAATGCTAGGCAAAATATTTTAAAAATCTGCTTGAAAGCTTTTGAGAAACTAACAAGAGAATGAAGGATTTCTGGCTCAAGATGCAGGCAATAATGGAGACAGAGCCTCAGAGAGGGTGGGCCCAGTGTCTATGACTGCTTTTCCTCAGGTGGTGTTTGCCACTTCCACGGTAGAGTATGATAGCTGCAGGGGCCTAGGGGGACGGAGAGGGGAAGATAAGGGGAGGGTCCAGTGTGCTCCTTTCACTGTGTGTCGAGCCCCCAGAAGGCTGAACCATAAAGGCAGAATGAATCAGAGGTTAATAGCCCCTTGCAGTAGCTACATCCAATATTTGCACCATCCCCCTTCTTGAAATTAGAGTGTGCTCATCCACACTTAGAGGACAGAATAAACATTTCCAGTATCTGTGTTCTTTTATATTTAAAAAAATGTTCTTTGTGTACAAAAACCTGAAAATTGTCCACATATGCTGGGCCAAAAAAAAAAGTATCAACAGATTTCAGAGAATTTAATCATGGAGATAAGCTCTCTGGAGACAAAATATTTCAGCTAGCAATTAATATCCAAAGATACTTGTTTAAAATAAATTTTTAATACATATTCTGTATAATAACGTATTCTTTTTTTTTTTTTTTTTGTCAGTCTAGCTTTAGGAATTAGGAATTTGTCATGAGCCACTTATGGATAGTTTCACTTAACCTTTACTGATACTGTAATTTTCAAAGGCATAATATTTTTTATAGATGAGCCCTCCATTGGTCTTACTCTTATTTTAATTTTTGTTGAGTCTTCTTGCCAAAAGATAGGATGTTTCAGGCCCATCTAATCGTGAAAGCAGAAAGATCCTTGGGGTTTTTAAGCATTGAGCAAACTGAGGGTAGGGAAAGACATGTAAGTAGGAAACCAAAGGAAGCCTAATAACCATTAAAGAAAGATTGATTTGCTTGTGTAAAATTAGGACACTTTGTTCATCAGAAACACCATGAAGAGAATGAAAAGGCAGAACAGAGTAGAAAAATGTAGACTATAAACAGAAGGCTTTTTATGAAGAATATGTACAGATCATCATGAAAAAGAAAATCTGATTTTTGAAAATGTGCATTAGAACATAAATATTTCACAGAAGAAGTTATCCAGGTATCCAGTAAACCTGTGACAAGATGCTCAATTTCAGTAACCAAGGAAAAGCAAAATTAAAACCACAGAAAGCATTATACACCTACCAGAATGGTTAAAGCAGAACAGGCATAATACCAAGGGTTGATATGCCTATGGGAACATCCAAACTCTCATTCACTGATGATGGTAATACAAATTGGTGTAGCCATTTTGACATTATCCATTAAAGTTGTATATATATGTATTCTGCAACCCACCATTTTTATTCATCTTTATATACTGTAGAGAAATGCATGTGTGTACCATGAGCACCAAGAGTTATGTAAAGGAATGTGCCGGCATTATTTGTTGTAGCCAACATCTAGAAATAATC